ACTAGCCTCAGGTGAAAAATCTGAAAAGGTGCCCCAAACCTCAGTAATCCAGATGACCCATATTTTTCAAAAAATCAAAATTAAGGTTAAAAAAAATCCATGATGAACAAAATACAAAAATTTTAAATAAAGTCAGGACCAGTAGCATTTGCCATGCTGAGTCTGAGACACAAAGAGAAGATCAGTTAACAGTGATCTGACCTTTATTATTATTTACATTTTACACCCAAGGTGAGTGCCTTACATGCCTCACCCTTGCCCTGGCCCTGGTCAGATTCCACTGGATATGTTTCTCTGTCCAACAGGCTGTTTGCCATACTGAAATCATCATTAGAATGTTAGTTCTGGCCCGGCAATTAGAATATGCCACGGACAATGAGAGCTACTTCAAAAATGCTTTATCGAGGCGCATGAGTTGTTTCCTACTTTTTCCCTTGCCTTTAACCACAAGTACAGACAATCCCAGAGAAAGACATAAACACTGGTCACCCACAGTCCTGAATTTTTTAAAGGGCCTCAACCAAGCATTCAAGATGGGATGCATTAATGCTGTATCTGATTACCTGCACCTTCAGTGTGAAACTAGAGCCATCTTATCTAAACAGACACACAGAAACCATTGCTCTGATTGATGTTATCATTTAAAACATGTACTGTACTTCTCACTGGGCCTAAAAAACACTGGAGAAAAATCAGTGTGTAAGAATAATCTGTATAAAATATGAGTTCCAAATGGACTGAAAATATGCCTGGAAACTCGCTGGAGTAAGGGCAAATACAATGATTCTGCATGCCTGTGTTCAGCTGTGGGGAGAAAGCATGCCATACAAAGTATTCAAGGGTCCCACTCACTCTCAGAGAGTGTGCTTGGGTATCCTTCTTCCCGGAAATGAAAGGACTCCGGTTTAGCCACTCATAGATGTAATAAAGAGAGTGAAGTTATTAGCTACATATTGAAGAACTTAAGAGGAACAATAGAATATTAGTTACAGCTGGGGAGAGATGGTGAACACTGGTCTTTCATGTCCACATAGGATAATGCAATAATTAGACTGGACTGAGAATAAATGTAAAGTTGGTCATCAGTCTTCATCAGCAGCCACAACAGCCTGGGGGAAAGGGAGGAAAAGGCTTTGGAGCCAGACAGAACTCCAGGGAAGTTCAGTACCTCTCTCTCCTAGTCGTCTGACCTTGGTTCCTTCCTGCGTATGCTAGCTCAGCCGTGAAACGAGGCTACTTTACAGGGTCACCGCGAGAATGACATGGCAAGACACGCAGAGCACAGACCTGGCTGGTGGGGAGCTCTGATTAAACTGTAGCTGCTGTTATCACCACCTCCAGCCCCGTAAGATTTGTGTGTTTAAAGGTCATCTGACCCCAAGACAGAGCAACAGTGAAGGTTTTCAAGGAAAGAGAACAATAATATTGGTAATTATTTATATGTGTGTGACTACAGAGGGGGCCTAGGCACCCTGCTGGAGGCAGTGCCCACCCTACTTGTCTACATTTCAGTTCCAGGTACCTAAATATGAGTACTTCCTTCTTATAATATTTCTAAGGGAAAACTCTTGAGTGATATCCCTTTAAAAAAAGCCTTTTTTTTTTTCTTGCCAAAAAAGAGCAGCTGATTACAGTCATGGTTATGATGTGCAGTTTTGTTCTTGACATTTTAAAAGATCCAGGAAAGAGCTTCCAAAGTTCATCCAAAAGTGGGTAGAAAGTAGGGAGTAGGAGAAGAAAGGCTACGAGAGAGTTGGAGTCATTCGCTCCAGACAAAGAGGGTTTGAAAGATTTCAAATATGTTAGGTAAGGGTTAGGATACTGATGCTACTCCACTGCCTTTCATGTCCATAGAATAGAAGGACTCCTGTCACTACCTTTTTCTTGGATGGATGATCTCCTTTCCTGGAGAAAAGGGATCGGCCAGATGACTTTTTGAGATCTCTTCTCATTCTAGCTATTGTACAAATATTAAGAGCAAAAGAATACACAGTCCATCAGCGTGTGTGTGTGTGTGTGTGTGTGTGGCGGGGGTGATTTCAGTTTCATTCTATTTAAAATGAGGTTGATGTAGCTTGTCACAATGGAAAGAGTGGGAGCCAGGGCTCAGGCAGAGCTGAATTTGAATCTGGTTTTGAAACTCACAATTGGACAGGTTACGAGAAAAGAATTCAACTCCCTACTCAACTGTGACCTGGAGATAATCTCTGCCTCCCAGAGTTCCTGGAAGGATTAACTAAACTAGTCCTGGCAAAGCACCTAATATTTTGACTGTCACACTGTAGGGCTTTGATGAATTAGAGCTACTAATGTAATTGGCTAAAAAATTATCTGACTAGTTACCTTTAAGTCATAACAAGAGCTATGACATTCTGGTTGTAGTTATACCACACTAGAAAAATTGCCAATTCAAGTCAGAAGACTGACACCACCCTGGCCCACTCTGCAAACTAGAACTTGTTTAGGCCAAAGAAGGCTTGAGGTGGTACCTCATTGACCAGCCTGGTGCTAAGAAGCAGAGGAAACTAAAGGTGAGGTCTAAGGCATCTTGGTATGAATCTGCTTTCTCTCACTGTCACCCTAAGAATCAAATGAGTTATTTTTAAAAGGTTCCAAATACATTTCCAAGTCTAAGGAATATATCACATCCAACCGACTTGTAATTCACACTAAGTATAGTAAAAACACCAGTAAAAAAAAACAGGTCTGCAAACCAAATGGAATGTCAGAAACTGTAATTATGATTTTTCTCCTGTGCAAATGATAGGGAGCTAAAAATGGAAGTTACACAGAAATTAAAACAGCTCTTGCACAGCAATGAAATCCAGTGGTCAGAGCCCTGTACTGAGTAAAAGAAGCTTCTACTATCAGACTTGGCCATAAGACGTAATTTTTTGGTGCTACATCAACGTGGTATAACATATTTAGTGTTTACACAGAGATTCTGTAATCCAGGACAGAATAGCTCTGGTTTCTCTTCTTGACCAGTGTCAGGGTCTGTGGCAGTAAGCCTAGAGGCTGTAGAGAACAGGAAAAGACAGAGGAGATACAAGGGACAAACATGCACATAAAGTGACACCCATGAAGAGCTTAGCCAGAAACACGGGAGGGTTTCCTGAGTCCCTCTGTGTTGCTCAAAGAATCAGACTTGGCTTGGAAAGCACGTCCTGTTTCCAGCAAAGGGGGTAGTGGATGGGTTACAGTTGATGGAACTAAACATTACAGATAAAGGAGCAGAACAGTGCACTGTGTACTGACAGAGTCACATGAGCTTATTTTTGTTGGGAGTGACCAAGTGCAGTCATGACATGTAAAGTGACCCCAGATATATCAGGAAGCTGGATGAGGCCCAGTGTAGATGCTTGTCGATATCAGATCTATGAAGGTCACTGTGCCATTAAGTCAACCATAAGCAGGAACCTCACATGGTAATGAAGTAGCCTTTACATTACCAAAAGACCAGTTTTATATGGTGGAGTGAAGTTAAAATTCATCACCTCAAATACATAAATTTCAAGTGGCAATAAGCCACTGAGCTGTCGAGACTGCCTACAGAAGCTAAACCCAGTATCTCTGTAAGTTCATTTTTATTCACCATAACTTTTAGAAGTTGGGGTACAAACAGTCCTTTGAAATCTATGTATTTATTTTTACTTTGCTTCCAGTCGTCATTTAATTATGCTTCCTTAAAACCACAGGTGTTACAAAATCTGACAGCATAGTACTTATAAGCAGGTTCATTGATTATTATTTTTGTGTGTGTATAATAATGAGATAACTGAAAAAACCCAAATGGCAACTAAGATAAGAATCAAGACCATCACATAAAGCAAAGAAAAAACAAACTAAGAAACTCAAGAAGAAATGTATTATCTATGCTGAATATTAAGTTCAAAAGTTCCTGTTCAAGGGGACATTAAAATCAAAGTTTTACTTCTATATACCTCTTTCCTCCCTTGAATAAACTGGCCTAAACTGCAGATTATTTCAGTGTGTGAATGAAAGGAGTATGGCAAACCCTTTCAGCAGTTTATTCAGTATTCCAGACCACTTGGGTAAGTGCCAGTATGAATTCAGAGGCTTATGAAAACTACAGGCTTGAGGAAAGAGAGGTCCTTTCAGAAATACTTATCTCAATACCAAGGAGTCAACTGTTTGCGGGTATCTAACTAATGCAATCCTGTGATGTTTTATGTTAAAAAGAAATCTAAATTCTAAACTTAAAAAGACATGCCTTTACTTATGATTAAGGGGTAAGGAAATCTCTTCCTCATCTGGATTTTGACAGTTATAACAGATGCACTGAGAGTCCTTTAAGAAAGCCGGAGTCCTGGAGATGCCGATGCAGTTACGGTGACAAGGAGAAGTTGCTAAATATTTTACGGTTCTTTGACCTTGTCCCCACTCATATTACTATCCTTCTAGATTTATCTTTCCTTTAGTGGATTTTTTCCTCCTCTTTTTTTAATGAAAAATAGACATTAATGCTTCAGTTCATTTTGTGAATGATTTCAGAGATATTTTTGTTTCTTTTAAAAAATGACCTTCAAATAAAGATAACAGACTTTTCAGACAGCAAAGCCCAAAGCAAGTTAACATCAGACTCTGTAGAGACCTTCTGAAGAGGGGTGGCCAACTGCTAAATAAACTTAAAACATTTTAAGAGTAGGCAAATAAAGTATTACTCAGGGAAACAACAATCAAAGCAGCCCAAGATTGGCACATACAACAAAATCCTTTTCCAGCAGACATTCAATTTAACTAGCACTGGTTGTTTAAAATAAAGTATTTCCTGGGAGGATCCAAGTGGCCATGAAGACTGCTTTTCTTGACATCAGGAAACAATGTCTTTTTTTTTTTTTTCTTTTTTAAGACACAGTGCAGAAACCAACACATTTCAAGGCCATATGATGTGGTTTTTGTTGATTCATGAAGCAGAGATGGGTTTGGGAGAGGAAATTGTATTCAAGTTGAACTGAACTGCACTAGTCTTGGTTTACCTGCCATATGCAAAACGCCTGTCTTTGTGATGATCTCCGAACGTGTCCCAAAGCCTGAGAGAAACGCTCACTTCATCAACAACATCCCGGGAACGTTCCAAGACCTGCAGGAGAGAGAGGGCACCAATTAGCTCTCAATCAGAAGTTCCCCAGGGGAAGAATGCCTAGGTCATCAGCCCTTAAAGCCCCGAGATTCACTTGCATTTAGTTTTCTCCTTCCAGCTAACAGGACTTAGCTAAGTCCGACTTCCCTTCCTGGAACCATGTGCCCTAAAAACCCTCACTCAGGATACTAGACCCATACGTCAGATCAGCTTTCTGCTTTTGTTTTCTCTTGCTGCGTGAAAAAGGGGAGTTCTATCTTGAACCTACAAGTTAAGTTCTTCCTCTGCTTTTAAAAAATCTGGGTATATTCTATAGCAATAAGCCATAATGGAAAAGAATATTAAATATGTCAACATATATATAACTGAATCACTTTGCTCTATAGCAGGAAGTAACACAACACTGTAAATCAACTGGACTTCAATTCTAAAAAATCCAATAAATAAAAAAATCTCCCAAAATAAGTCAAAATCAAAATCAGACTGGCGACAGCAACGATGTGTCCTTAGGATTCTGAAGAAACCCTGTCTACCAATACTAACGCATATATACGGAATTTAGAAAGATGGTAATGATAACCCTGTATGCGAGACAGCAAGAGAGACACAGATGTATAGAACAGTCTTTTGGACTCTGGGAGAGGGCGAGAACGGGATGATATGGGAGAATGGCATTGAAACATGTAAATTATCATATGTGAAATGAATCACCAGTCCAGGTTCAATGCATGATACAGGGTGCTCGGGGCTGGTGCACTGGGATGACCCAGAGGGATGGGATGGGGAGGGAGGTGGGAGGGGGGTTCAGGATGGGGAACACATGTTCACCCATGGCTGATTCATGTCAATGTATGGCAAAACCACTACAATATTGTAAAGTAAAATAAATAAATAATTAAAAACAAAAAAAAGAAACCCCATCTCTCTCACCTCCTGGCAGACTCGGTACTGGTCAATGGCCCACACGGTGGGGACATGGGTAGCCAGCAGCTGGTACTGTGTCAGCGTGGTATTACATGCTCTGGCGCAGATCAAGCGTGTCTTCCCCACGGCATTGTCCCCCACAACCACGCACTTGATGGTTTCCACGTTGGGTCTTTCATAGTCCATGTCAGCGTCCATTTATAAAACTCTGGAAGAAGAGAGTGGATACCACATTCGAGACATCAGGGCTCTCCAGAGCAATCAAAGATGGGAGGGGAGCAGGCAGTTTTCCCTTGGCCCAGGCGCTCCTATGGAGGTGCCTGAGCCTAAGCCAGAAGTTTGGAAGTTCCTACGAAGCCGAACTGAAACTCAACTTTTCTTTTTATATCTCACACAAGTACAAAAACACCGGATTGTTATTTTGACCCCAAACGGTTTATCCCGGTTAACGTGTTATTTTCTCCTTGGTTCTCTCTAAACACAATCTGACTACTGGAGCGCCACCCAGGCGAGTCAGGGCTGCTGGCACGTAGTCTAAGTTCACTAGCTGCTCATGTGGACCCCTAGAGAACTGGGCACCTGCGGGTTCAACCTTACACACTCGGGCATAACCAGCCTTTGCAACAATGTCCGTTACAATCTTCCAAGATCTCTTTTTGACAGAAAACAGCAAAATTCTGTTAAGCAATTATCCTTCAATAAAAAATAAATAAATTTTAAAAAATCCTATAGGTTTTAAACTATCCTGGTGACTCAGAGGAGGATCCAAAGTGCAAGCAGAAAGGACTGTCTGACTTTAAAGAAGAGTGAACTGTGTGAATTTTGATATCTTGCTGAAATTGTATTTATATTCATTCATGAATTTTTATTAATCAAATTCATTAAAAATATCTTCTTAAGAGAAGCACTATAAAGCAGAATTTTAAAAAAAAATTCTTTTTCCTGAGAAGAATCTGGAGCATATGGTAGAGAATGATTTTATTAAGATGAGGCGCTACCTTGGAGACGGCTTCCCAGGTGGTGCTAGTGGTAAAGAACCCTCTTGTCGATGCAGGAGATGCAAGAGATGCGGATCCGATCCTTGGGACAGGAGGAGGGTGTGGCAACCTGCTCCAGTATTCTTGCCTGGAGATTCCCATGGACAGAGGAGTCTGGTGGGCTACAGTCCATATGGTCGCAAAGAGTTGGACACAAATGAAGTGACTTAGCATGTACACTATTTTGGAATATTTCTGAAACCATCAAAAAAGGTTTAAAGAGGGTTGCTGGGTGAGGGGTGAAGAGGCAGAGGGAAAGCTGCTGGCAGCCTCACTTCCCCCAAACAGGAGCCCCCACAAACTGCAGTGTGGACTGCTTCCTTGCATCAGCTGGATGGGTGGCCAAACACGCAAGATTTTAATGTACTGTGATTGCTCTTTTGAGTAAGTCTGTTGTTAAACTGAGAAAACTAATTAGACGGTAATTTTTAAAAACGAGTTTATGGAAATAGAACTGCCATAGGACCCAGCAATCCCACTCCTGGGCATACACACTGAGGAAATCAGATCTGAAAGAGACACGTGTACCCCAGTGTTCATCACAGCACTGTTTATAATGGCCAGGACATGGAAGCAACCTAGATGCCCATCAGCAGATGAATGGATAAGAAAGCTATGGTACATATACACAATGGAATATTACTCAGCCATTAAAAGAATACATTTGAATCAGTTCTAATGAGATGGATGAAACTGGAGCCCATTATACAGAGTGAAGTAAGCTAGAAAGAAAAACTCCAATACAGTATATTAACACATACAGTATATTAACACATATATGTGGAATTTAAAAAGGTGGTAACAATAACCCTATATGCAGGACAGAAAAAGAGACAGAGATGTATAGAACAGACATTTGGACTCTATGGGAGAAGGTGAGGGTGGGATGATCTGAGAGAATAGCATTGAAACATGTATATTATCAAGTGTGAAACAGATCACCAGCCCAGGTTGGATGCATGAGACAAGTGCTCAGGGCTGGTGCACTGGGAAGACCCAGAGGGATCGGGTGGAGAGGGAGGTGGGAGGGGGGATCGGGATGGGGAACACATGTAAATCCATGGCTGATTCATGTCAATGTATGGCAAAAACCACTACAATATTGTAAAGTAATTAGCCTCCAATTAATAAAAAAAAGAAAAAAAATGAGTTTATAATGGTCTTAACAGCCATGGTTAAAAAAATGCTCAATCAAAGCAAGATCCTTTATAACCCACCTCCCAGAGTAATGGAAATAAAAACAAAAGTAAACAAGTGGGACCTGATTAAACTTACAAGCTTTTGCACAGCAAAGGAAACTATAAGAAAGGTGAAAAGACAACCCTCAGAATGACAGAAAATAATAGCAAATGAAACAACTGACAAAGGATTAATTTCCAAAATACACAAGAAGTTCATACAACTCAATACCAGAAAAACAAACAAGCCAATCAAAGAGTGGGGAAAGACCTAAACAGACATTTCTCTAAAGAAGACATACAGATGGCTAACAAACACATGAAAAGATGCTCAACATCACTCATTATCAGAGAAATGCAAATCAAAACTACAATGAGATATCACATCACACTGGTCAGAATGGCCATCATCAAAAAGTCTACAAACAATAAATGCTGGAGAGGGTGTGGAGAAAAGGGAACGCTCTTGCACTGTTGGTTGGAATACAAATGGATACAGCCACTATGGAAGACAGTATGGAGCTTCCTTGAGAAACTAGGAATAAAATCACCATATGACCCAGCAATCTCACTCCTAAGTAAACACCCTGAGGAAACCAAAGTTGAAAAAGACACATGTATCCCATTGTTCACTGCAGCACTATTTACAATAGATAGAACATGGAAGCAACCTAGATGTCCTTTGACAGATGAATTGATAAAAGAAGTTGTGGTACATATACACAATGGAATATTACTCAGCCATTAAAAGGAATGCATTCTAATCAGTTCTAATGAGGTGGATGAACCCAGAACCTATTACACAGAGTGAAGTGAGTTAGAAAGAGAAAGATAAATATCGTATTCTAATGCATACATATGGAACCTAGAAAAATGGTACTGAAGAATTTATTTACGGGCAGCAATGGATAAACAGACATAGAAAATAGACTTATGGACATGGGGAGAGGGGAGGAGAGGGTGAGATGTATGGAAAGAGTAACATGGAAACTTACATCACCATATATAAAATAGACAGCCAACAGGAATTTACTGTCTGGCTCAGGAAACTCAAAACAGGGGCTCTGTATCACTCTAGAGGGGTTGCATGAAGCAGGCGACGGGAGGGTGGTTCAAAAGGGAGGGAATATATGTACACCTATGGCTGATTCATGTTGAGGTTTGAAAGCAAACAACAAAATTCTGTAAAGCAATTATCCTTCAATAAAAAATAAATTTAAAAAAATGCTCAGAGTAGGGCCTGATACATAACTGGGACTCAATACATGTTTAATTCATTTGATGTAAGCAAAATGATAATTTGAATAATATGAGATGAAAGGTACAGAAGGAGAGGTAGAAGGAACAATGTTAAGAAGAACTGTGCTTTTGCACAGTTAGGACCATCTGAACATGGATAACAGCATCACAGGAGGTGTTAAACTCGAGGATGGAGAACTATTCGGCAGAACAGAATGGAGTGATTCAAGGAAAAGATGTGTGGTGAGGTTAAAGTCTGAGACTACACTGTGAAGAGGCTTAAAATAGATACCTGTCCCCCAGCTGGCAAATGCTGATTTTTGAAGGTCTTGGGTGGGAAATGAAAGTCTTTAAACATCTCCATTTCTGATGATTACCCAGGTGTGATGACTCCAAAAATCAATCTCTTTAAAATTCAGCCTTAAAATTCTGTGGTTTTATCAGTTCTTGATTTAATAGTATAACATGGCAAAGCATGACTTGCCATGTTTCCAGTGATTCTTAAACACTGGCCCTAGAACATCTGGCAACGTCTGGAGGCATTTTTGGTTATCCCAATGGGGGTGGAGGGAGGTGCTACTGGCTTCAGGTAGGCAGAGGCCAGAGATGCTGCTAAACATACTGCAATGCACAGGACAGCCCCTGCAACAAAGAATTATTCAGCCCCAAACACTATGTGGGGGGCTGGGAAATCCTGCTTTGGGTGCATGGGGGTTTGAGTGCTCGTCTCTCCTCTTTCTGGCCATTTTATGTGATTTTAGGCAAGTTATCTGCACCATCTGAGCCTCAGCTTCCTCATTTGTTAAGTGGGGATTACAATTCTATGATTTCCTAATGTCATGAGCATTAGGTGAACTGAGGTTCTCAGTCACTGGTGTAATACCTGACACATTGATGCTTCCAAAATTATAATCATCATGCTGAAATGAATACTTACAGATGACAACAAAACTGAGTCAGGTGGAAGACCAGAATCAGATGCAAAAATCATGAACTTAAAACTCATAAAGACCTATAAAAAGGATACACTTTAGTAGAGCAATTAAAGATAATTTATAGAAAACTTAAGAACCTAAATACAAAATGGAGCACAGCTGACCTGATAAAAAGAAGGCAGTAAAAGTTCTGGGTGGGGAATGGGAGAAGAGGAGGTCACAGGTAGCTAAAGAATAACTGAGCTGGAAAGCTAGGTTAAAAATCTTTTTATGCAGCATTTCTAGATTCTAGAATAAAAATGGTAGCATGTCATAACAGTCTTTGACAAGCTTCTGGTGCTATTACCATGGGATAGCCTGTGTCAGAAAAAAACAGGTTCCATTTGGAGACTCGCAACTCTGAAACCTAAGGTCTATTATTTTTAATATCCTAGGTGACATTCAAACTTTACTCTTTTGAGAGAATTTTGCTTTTTTAGATAGATAAAATGGGCTCAGATGGTAAAGAATCTGCCTGCAATGCAGGAGACCAGGGTTTGATCCCTGAGTTAGGAAAATTCTCTGGAGAAGGGAATGGCAACAGTATTCTTGCCTGGAAAATTCCATGGACAAGAGGAGCCTGGTGGCTATAGTCCATGGGGAGTCTCAAAGAGTTGGACATGACTGAGCGACCAACACTTTCACTTTCTTTAGGTAGATAAAAGTCAAATAAAGCCAATCCATTAAATTTGGATGAATGTTTGGATTTAGTAAAAATTTGGACACAACACAAAAAGTCTGAAACTGATTTTCTTGTTGGCTTGTAAACT